AAATTATCCCTTTAATTACTTTTTATGTTTTCACATTATTATTATTATTTTATACATATTTATACATATTCAATATGCACGCATAAAAACTTTTTTATCGGAATTGATGTATTGGCATTTGGTATTTTGATTCGAGGTATCAATAATTTGTGTGTTCTTCCCTACATCCCTAGATTAAATACTTCAGTGTGTATTTGTGTTATGTACCTATACATATCCAATTTTTCAAACCGCGTACCGAAATCTTTCTTAGTCTTGAAACGCAATCATGAACAAAACTAGAGAGTGTATATATTGATATAGTAATATCACGTACATATTAAATTGACAAATAATTTAATATTATTGATGCTAATAAGCATCTTATGAAAATATTAATAATTTGATGTTAATAAAAAACTCAAAGATTTGCCAATAATTTAATTATTGCGAAAAATATATCAGTTGGGATTCGAACCAGAATCTCCTATTTCTAGTTCTATTCATGATTGCTTCAAATTGAAAAAGATTTCAGTGCGCAATTTGCAGAATTATATATGTATATAAATTTTTACCGAAATATTTAAGTATTAAGATTTACTTGGACCGAAACTAGGATTTCTCTTATCTAATTAGATTTATTCTCATCGATCCAATTTTGTTTTATCTAGTAAACAAGCTGATGTTACTTATCATTTTAATATCATTTTGTTCAAAATATTATTTTGTTAAAATCTTGTCGTTAAAATAACGATAAATAACGTCAGTTTGCTAGGATTATTATTAATAAAAGCATATAATTAATTAATTAAACTTATCGTTATTAGATATGTCGATATATTGAATGATACGCACAAGATTGTTGGATTTAGCTTTTTATTGCTCATCGGTACAGTTTTTAGTTTACTTGGAGTTCGAGTAAGTATCGTTTTTTAAATAATTGACTTTCCAATAATTAGCGATATATTTATTTTAAAAACTTATGATTTCGTAAATTTCGTGCAAATATGATTGTATTTCAGATAGCGCATGGATGTATAATATCTTTGATGTATTATAGATTGTCTATGTGTTAGACCAATTAGAAGAAATGATTAGATTTACATTTATAATCATGGGGGCGTTATTACAGTTGATGATCGTCTGTTATTCTGGCCAGAAATTAATGGATGAAAGTCAGAATATATTTCATCGAGCGTAATAATTATTTTATATTTTCTCAAACATCCGTTATTTTAAATATTCAAAATCTGCAAATTTGATTTTAAATTTATTTTATAACTATAATTCAAATTATTTTTTAATAGTAAATTTTTAATAGTAAACTACACATGAAGTATGTTATGCAAAGTGCAAGTGCATATAAAATTTTGGATATATTATAGAAAGTATTAAATGAGATTGTATTTAATAGTTTAATTTTTTAATTTACGATACTTTGTAGAATTTGCGTGACATATATTGATAAAAATCTAAATAAAAATTAATTTTTTTAATATATACTTTCAGATATGCAGCGGAATGGTACAAATTTTCACCAAGATTAAAATCACTGCTAACCATAACTCTTTACAGAAGTATTGTGCCGTGTAAACTGACAGCAGGAAATTTGTTTCCATTGTCAATGGCAGCCTTTGCTTCGGTAAGTATGAGACAATCTGGAAAAATAATTTATAGCATGCAGACAATGATTCATACGCTTCTAAATATTTTAAGGTGGTACGAACGGGTGTTTCTTACTTCACGGCATTGTTATCCCTTAAAAATTAGTTTTGAAACATAAATGCTTAGCTAATTCTTTACTGATACGTCTTCGATTCAATAAACTGTAGATAAAAATTCCAAGATTAGTATTGTTTATATATTGTACAATACTTTGTAAGATAATGAGTATAAAATATTTAATTGAAAGAAGAAAGTTTACCAAGTACTTATATTTTTATTTAACAGAATCACATTTATTATTAAATATACAACTCATATAATATCAGCCGATACGACTACAATCATTATCACAGCATTTTGCAGGTAGACATTCGTAATGTCAGTCTCTTAACGAAATAACTTAACGAAAATTATTAATTATTGTAGTAACATTATATAGTTGATGACTTTCGTGCTTTCGGACGCAATTAACTAGCTTTTTGATGTTCTTGTAGATTGATTTACACAAGAATATATTTTTAAATAAAAACATTTGTTAAATCCCACAATGCTATTAAGTTAAACCATATTCCAAGCTGTTAGCGTACCATATCTAACAGGACATGGTTATAAAGCTGCATAATATCATTATTGTTAATTCTCTACTTTTTTACTTAACATTTCTTTAACGTTAAAGTATAACGTTCATATCTAAATAGATACGTTCTGAATAAGAAATGCAAATATTTGAATAGCAATATAATTTAATAATTATTCTGCAAAGTTTAACTTTGTCTCATTTTTTTTTGAAATAGAATATATTAATTAAATGTAAAAGAAATACATGAAAACAAAAATAAATATGGACTACTTGTTATCTCTGAGATCTTGTTTAGAGAGTTTAAGTTTAATATTATATATACATATATATTATATAATACGAAATGTTTTTATTTAGAAAAAAAATCTATTAGAAAAAAAAAGTTACTAATATTATTCGTTAGAAAGTAATTGATTGATATCACATTAGAGTTCAGTTATAATATACCCCTCTGCGTACAAAATATTATCGAAAGCACATTAGATGCTAACCAAAATACAAGAAATGTTTAGAATGTAATATGTTAATGTAAATTTTTTAATATTCAGATGTAAATTTTTAATTTAATAAATTCAGAAAGTTTGGGAAATTGTATCTAATAGAAAATTTTGTAACTTCTGATAATTCATTATGTTTTTAAAAGCAAAATTAATAATATAATTAAGGACCAAACATAATGACAATAATTTCATTCATCAGTGGACTTCGTTAATTTATCGAGGCAATCGTACGACTTTGCTTGAGTGACATATCTGCAACATAGAAAAATTTTCATGAATATTTCATATCATCATTAATTAACAACGGCACTGAAAGCAAAAAGCAAAGATTATAATCAGTAATTGTTAATAGAGCAAAGCAAAAACTAACCATGTTAATAGTTAAATATTAATCTAAACTGCATGGTTTGCGTGACACAACCGTTTATGCGTTGGATCTCTTCGTGCGACGTGAAGTATCAAGTTTCCGGCTTTGGCGCTTTTGAACATCTGTAATGCCTTGGCGTGCGTCAGTCCATCCAACGAAGAGCCATTGATCGCTAAAATTTCGTCTCCCACTCTCAAAGTACCTTAAACATAACAGGTAAACCACTGCAAATTTTCTCTCATATGTGTCGTCAAAACAGATACAACATATTTCCTTTGTATACTTTTATATACCCAGTAATCAAGAATAGATTAAAATAGATTAAAATTTTTATGCGTATTTTAAGTCCATTAAATCTAATTAAGTTAAAAAAGAACTTTTTTTAGTCTTTATTCTTTTTTTACCTTATTCTTTCTTTTTAGTCTTATTTATTTAATTCTCATTCCGTTCTATTGAATTCAATTGAGTAAAAAAAAAACTTTTTTTATTACAATTGAATTCAAATGAATCGAAAAACTGCATCTCTTATTCAGAATTTTTAATTAAACAGTATACACAATGTGACAGAAAAAGTTAATATTATTTTTACATTGGAAGGCATAGAAATGTGCTTCATGCAATTCCTATAAATGAATAAAATTCGGATTGAAAAGGATTTAGTTTAAGGATTTGCAAGTGTGTATTTCTGAAAATCTGAATCCATTTCTATTTCAATCCATTCTCGATTATTGGGTATTATATACATTAATTTCATATTTTAAAATAAAACGCTCTAATGTTTCACAAGAAATACGATACCTTCTTCTGCAGCTTGTCCACCAGGCATAATATCCTTCACAAAAATACCCATGCGTCCTTTATTGCTATCAACACCGCCAACAATGGAGAAGCCCAATTTCTTCGGCGCTCCTTTTTCTAGTATGATCGTCAACAGATCAATGGATAAACTGGACCCTCGTTGAACAGTGGACGCTTCAGAGCTTCGTTTTCTCATGACCTGGAACTTCTTCATACCAGTCATCTTTTGGAGACTAACAGTCGCGTCGTCAACGGCGCGAGGAATTCCAGCGTTCGTCGAAGATCCAGCATCGTCAGAGGAAACTAACGATTCAGTTCTTTTGTTCTTCAAAATCCACGCGTCAGGATCGCTTCGCGTTCGCGTCAAGGCGTTGCCCCACGTGTCACCGATTTCTTCACCGAAAGCCGAATTCGGTTCTCTCGCGATTTGCAGTTCAACAATACCAACGCAACTCCGCAAAGCGTTTCGCGCCTCCGCCATCGACATACCGCGTATCCTACGTCCGCAGACTCGGACGATTTCATCGCCGATGCGGAATTGCTTCGATTTAGCGGCTTCGCCGTTGGGATCCATTTTGGCGATCACGTAGAATGGCCTAGCCGCCTCGCACCGTTCGACCGAAATACCAAGACCCGCCGTGTGATTCACCGTCAGCTTCATCGTTTTCAATTCACGTCGTATTAGGATTTTGTTAGCGGCAGTGACAGGTTTAATAATGGAAGTGATAGGAATCGACGACATACAAATTGTCGTTTTCTTCGCCACATTCCTCGTTACGTCCAGTGTATCAAGTTCTAGAGTGGAACGCGATCTCTTTGGGCTGTAGTATCGTAAAGGGTTAGCCGTCGCATCAGTTAAGGAATGGAGTTTGTTAGCCGGAGGGCTATCTTTGCACGGAGACGCAGCATGCTCTAAGAGGTGTAATACACTTGGACTTGAACATTTTTTATTTTTGAACTTCTTTTTGTCTTTCAATAAATTCTGAAATTTAGCCATCTGAGATACGTTAACATGACTTTTTGGCGTTACACAAAGTTTTCTCTCATTGAAATCGGCTTTCATTTTAGCATCATCGACACCATACGCATCAACATCGTCACATTGCAGTGTAACGTCGAGATCGTTACGGTATGTCACCTCGAGTTTTGTTAAATCTTCGCCGGTCAAAGCAGAAGTCGCAGATGCTGCTTTCATCAGATCCTTGCAAGATTTTGGCAAGAGATCTGGTTCCGTTTTGGAATAAATTCTCGTTAAATCCGGCTGGTTTTCTAGAAAATCGGCAAAAGTATCTTTATCGCAGCTGTCCGTATCATTATCCTCTTCTAACATTAACGTAGTAGATTGGATTGTGGTCGAATCATTGAAGGAAGGATTGCTCGCCGCGGCATCGATAGCGGCATCAGCGACATTGACTTTCTCGATCTTCGAGGTGCATGTTTCTGATGAACGTGATTCGGTTACTGTACCTGTATTTTTTTTCCTCGAGATATCACTGATTGGCGATAAGTCAATGCCGCGATAATCGTACGACGTTATTGAAAAACTACGCGGCTTCAATGAGGAAGGCATCGTCGATTTTTCACTGTCTGGCGAATCCGCGCCGGTTCGCGTACTATCAGAATCATAACCACTTTCGTCACAACCTATGCGCAGATTGCTCAGTAAATCTTCCAAACCAGTCAATGATCCGGACGATAATCCCTGGGGATAGGAATTTCCTTTAACTTCGTTGACACCAACGTTATTGGTAGATTGGTGATGAGGTCGCGTCGGAATTCTACGTTTTATTTCTCCCGAAGATTTCAGATTCATGCTCGTACCAACGTTCTCCAACGTTTCTCGAGTAAATGTGTCATCCTGACGTGTTTTTTTCAAGCTCTCATGATTTTTGAGTATGTAATCTAAGACCCGCTGTTGCTCTTGAAGATCTTGTATGCTGCGACTCAGCTGTAATTTCTTCTGACGGAGAAACATTTCCCGATCGATTTCAGCGAATTCGCGATCATTGAAATTCTCTGGACAAATTCTTCGAAACGGAAGCTTCCTGATCGCTCCTTCGCTGAGAGTTTTCTCCATCGGGGAATGGCTAACATGGATGACAGCATCCTCCTCTTGTATCGTCGCGCTTCTCGTAGAACTTTTGCCATTAACAGAATGATCGCCGCTAGTCCTAAAGAGATTTCTTAAAGATTCTACTCTGGGAATTCTTTTTGGCCTTGGGAGTTCGCTATTTCCCTAAAAATGTTGATTATTCGAAATATTTTTCGAAACGAAAATTTTCTTTCAGTTACGTCGTACAAAGGAAGGATTAGAGTGAAAACGCACTTTTAAAATTCGATTTGTTGCCAAAAGTAGTTTTTCATGTCCATAGGGTAAACTCGAGTAAGATGGCCATAAGGAAAAATCTTTTCCTTATGGCCATCTTACAGACTTTTACAATGACTAAAAAATGCTCTATTCAGCAATTATTAAAGAATAATTATAGCCTACGCGGCCATCTTTTCCGTATAGACGTAATACCCGAGTTTATCTCTATTAAACATTTCAAATCCTTCAGGCATCTCTTTAGTTTTTTTTTTTAATTAACAATAAATATAAAAATGTTTAAGTTATTGGTTCGATTGATTGGCAGAATTTTAGGAAAAGGTTAAATATTTCATATTCTAGGATCAATTTTTTTCTATTAGGCGGTATAAATATAGTTTGGATTAATGCGAACCCTGGCTGCCAACATATTAGTCAACGCTATTGTCGACTGCATTGTCGAGATAAAATCGGTGGTGATGCAAACGCACTAATCTGAACTATATTTATATCACACATAATTGAAAAAAATTCAATTAGTTCTGAAACGTTTGT